ATCTTGTTCCGAATCTTCAGAAGATTGATTTAAAAAATCATCATCATTATCGGATACATTAAATTGGTCGTCATTTTGCTGTTCTTGAACAACTGGAATTGCAATGTTTGTATCTTTGAGTTTTTTATTTGCACTCATAATATTTTCCAGTCGTTTTTGCCGTTGAAATTCTCCCTTTATTTGACTCATAGCAAGAACTTTTTCTGACTGTAATAACATTATAAGTTATAACAGTTAAGAAAGCCAAATGATTAAATATGCTAAAAAAACGTCAATAAATAAAAATTTAAGGTAAATTTCATACACCCAAGCGGTTTCTTTTATTCATATGAAAAAAGCCCATGGAAGAAAAAAGTCTTTCAACCGAGGCAGTATTAATACAAATAGCATATATTTTAGTAGAAAATGCACTTAAATCTGGTGCATAAGCAGATGTAAAATCCCAAAACCCAAGTACACCATTACGAAATTGTTTTAATGACATATTATTAAATGGAAAATCTTGTTTTCGATAACTCTGCAACTCTCCCAATAGTGAGGTAGGTAATCGTTTAAACCAAGCACAGAAATAGTAAATCATCCATTCACTCAATTGAGCAAAAGAAATTGATTGATTACTTTGAATAAAAAGATTATTCTGATATTCAGGGTGGAGAAGAAAAGAAATTAATAATAAGGGCTGTTCCCAAATATCCCATCGTTTTTCTAAACGCGCAGCCATTTTTTTACCTAAATCTTGATCGGAATATTCTTGCCACATTTTGTAAAAATAAGCAAATCCATGAAGTACATCATGGAGATGAGCATTTTCTGCTTGTAATTTGTTTAACACTCCACAAAAAGGATATAGAAGCTTTTCTAATTGCTTAATTTCTCTCCACCAAATATCATTATCAATAGTTTTGCAGATATCAAGCGGCAAAGTTTTATTATTTCGCGTTTCATCTTCTTAACCAGAATGGTAAATTGCTTCATCTTCTTGATCAAATTCTTCAGGAGCATATTTTGAAATAAGTACCTAAAAAAATATGCATGTGTGTAAAAAAATAAAATTAAAAGCTAATTTTATTAAGTATTTTAAATTTTACATACCTTTAAAGCTGCCTTTGTTCGTATTAAACTGAAATAGCAATGATAATGAGAATTCCAACGCGTAGCACATGGAAGAAGAAGAGCAAGATATTTATTATATTTGATTTTTTGCTCATCACGTAATCTAGCCATAAAGTAAACTGATCTGTTAAGATATGTAATAATTTGAATGGCCTTTTCAGATGCATTAATCAAATTAGGAGATTCTTTAAAGATTTCTCCAACAATTAGGTTAGCTTGATGGGCAAAACAGGGGCCAAAAAAAATGTCTCGCCGCTCTGGTGCCAATCGTTTTCTGTAAATTATAAAAAAAAAGTTAATATTTTGCGAATTGTGATTATTAATTTAAATCATTAAGATTTACTATTAACAATTTAACATACCTTGCAGCTTGATTTGAAGATGCAGAATCAGTAATTACAGCATTGTATTTGATATTCTGTTTATCTAAATCACTTAAAAAATTTAATGTAAATTCTTTAATTTCCTCCCATTGAACACGATTTCTGCTTATATCTTCTCCTCCCCATACTAAAACTTGTCCATCAGAAGTAATTAAAACTGATCCCATAATTTATTGCTTTTTGACATTTTTCCATCCATCAAAACATAAAGTAACTCCAAGTTCATCTTTTTGTGCAGTATCAATTAAAGATTTTTTAATATGTTCTGAATTTGTATTCAGAATAAGACCTGCTAGTACTTTTAGACTAGGTAATTTCAATCCTGGATTTGCAAAATTAATCATTTTTTGACTTGATTGATTTTCAACCCATCTAAATGACCACCCATTATCTATAGTAGAATTCAATACTAAATCTTCCCATTGAGTATATTCTTGCTTAGAAAGAGGAGTTGGCCAAGGCATATAGTACGTAATTTTTGTTTTTCTTTTTTTATTAGCAGATTCTTCTTCAGTACTAATTTCAAATTCTGAAATATAAATTTAGATTAGTATAAATTAATTAACCAAATAAATTATAAATGATTTTTTAAAAAATATACCGTGTGAATGTTGTGATAAAGAGGAAGCGGAAAAAGAGGAACGGTGTGATAAAGAGGAAGACGAAAAAGAGGAATGGTGTGATAGAGAGGAAGAGGGAAAAGAAAAATTTTGTTCATGAGAAAAAGATGATTCTCCTTCAGTTTGATCTTTTTCTTGAATCTCTTCATATCTCTCAGGAAAAAGTATTCTATTTCTTTCATTTTCGGAATACTGTTCCTCAAATTTATTACAAGACTTTAAATGAGAAATTACTAGCCTTTTTGTGTTTGTAATTTTGGCTTTGCAATAGCAACACAAAGCAAAATAATTAAATTTATTTGCTTTTTCATTTAAAACTGTAATGTACTTAGTATAGGAATGTTTTGGAGGAGGCATGTTTTCTAATGAGAAAAAAATAGTCAAAGTCGAAGTAGAAAAAAAACGAGATTATCATTGTTACACTATAATTTATTAATTGGATATGTCCAATTGGATCTCCAATTGGATTTGGACATATGTCCATATGTCCAATTGGACACATTTAATCCAACGATGTCCAATTAACCAATTGGACAACTGGACATATGTCCATTTGGAAATTGTCCAAATGTCCAATTCTAGAAATTGGACATTGTCCAAATCCAACTCTGGCTACGGTGTCGTGGGCGGAAATCATGGACTTTGTTACTTCATCTTGTAATCCTTCAGTTTGCTTGATGCTTGCTGCTGATATTCCCCATACTTCCTTTGATACTATTGATGAGGCTTTGCCTACTCCACATTTACTTACGGCTGGCGATGTTGTTGCTTCATCATCGGTCGTGCTTTCTCCAGACTCTCAATATACCTTTTACACTGATGGTTCTCTTATCAATTTAGGAACGTGTGATGTTTCTATGGGATGGGGCTGGGTTCAAATTGTCAAGGATTCTGGCTTTCTTAATTCTATTGCCACTTATAAGCGGGGTATTATTCGTGATTGGCCTTCTTCTTCTCGAGCCGAAGCTGCTGCTATTTATGCAGCTTTATCAGCTTCTCCTGCCAACTCTGTAGTTCACATTTATACAGACTCACAGTCTTCCATCGAGGGTTTGAAACATTGTTTCTTATCTGATTATTCAGATTCTCGTCTTTATTATAAGACTACCAATTTTGAACTTTGGGCCATCATCCAACAACTGATTGTGGATAAACAACTTTCAGTTTTACCTTTCAAGGTTAAAGCTCACTCTAATTTTTATTGGAATGACTTTGCTGACTTTCTTGCCAATACTGCCCATACATCTGATGATGCTATTCTTATCTCCCGCCTCGACCTTACTGCAGTTCATGATTATATTATGACTTATGATGACGTAGTTTGTGAATCCAACCCAAGACATCTGTTTAAACAATATCATCAGATGTTGTATATGAAAGATCTTTTAGCCCTTTCTCGCTTCCGTTTTATTTCTCTTTTAATAGATCCATCCCATTACGAGGTTGATTGGGCTCTTACTTGGCACACGTTAATGTTCCAACCTAAATTTGATAATTCCTTTACCAAGGAAAATGTCTCTAGACATCACACATTGAAATTCCAACTTTTTCTGGAAGACTTACCTACTTTAGAATCACTGAAAAGGACATGACCTGATTTATACGTAGAGATTCTTACCTGTCGTTCTTATGAAGACCACCTAGAAGATTTTATGCATTTATTTTTATGCAAAAAGCGCCGCGTTAAATTACACCAAATTTTAACGTCATATCTCCACCATCTTACCCAAAAAATTAAAGAAGCGGGTGATAATGCCAATTGCGATTACTCTTCTTTAGTTGATAGAGTTACTTCCCTTCCTTGCTGGACTTTTTCATCTAACAACTGGTCTTCCTATAGTCTTATCCGTGGCTGTTTGCCTACCGCCTTTCTGGAAGTTTTTAAAGACTTAGGTATTCCTCGCCTCACTGCTATGAATGTGGTTGCTGCCATACATAACAATTTTGTCAACAAATTCCATAAACGAATTTGGAATCCGCGTTCATATGATAAAAGATTATGGGAACGTGCGATGAACATTTCTCTGAAACTTAAACAATCTTCAAGGCCTAAAGGTTTGTCCAAATCTTCTTATTTACTTTACTCGTCTTTACCACCTCCGACCCATGTTGATTCACGTGACTCTGGAACCGATTGGTTAAAAAACTCGATGCAATATGGATTATCTTGGTTTAATCACATTTCGGGTTTTATGGGTCGTCTAACGGTGCTACTTAATAACCGCTTTTGCAGGATGAAGTGTCAATTTTAATAGTGGGCGCGTCATTCATTATTTTGTTAGCATAGTTGCTTCTACTTTGGTTGGAATATATCAAGGGGGGAGATCTAGGAAGTGTTAGTATTAGCGAATTTTCTTTTGAACTTTCTTTTAATTTTAATTTCTTTCTAGAAGACTATATAGCTTTGTTTTTAGTTAGTTTTTATTTAATTTTCTTATTCTTATATGTAATTTTGTAAAGTTTGATAAATAATTAATAAAGATAAAGGCTACTATGCCATGTTTGCCCAAAAGTGTGACTTATGACCTGTTTTAGAGATATCTGGGGTCCTATGCAAGTTACTCATTTATCTGATACCGAATATTCTGTTGCTACCTCTTCTGTTCAGACCTTGGTTAAACATAAGGCTAAGTTGTCTTGTTCTACTCCTAATGTGATTTTATATTTATCGCAAGCTTTGGGTTTGATTAATTGATTTTCACATCAACAACAAAGTCATTTTACTAATTTATTTTTATTAGCAAATTTTTCTTCTTCCTTTATGCATTCTCTTTTTTTATATAAATTACGATTTATTCCATTTTATTTTTTTGATTCCTATTTCTTCTTTGTTGATAATAAATTGGTCTTATTGGTTATCTCTTGCTCTTTTTAAACAAGATTATATAGCTAGTACTATTACTTCACTAGTATTGACTCCCTTCCGCTATTCTATGCTGGTCTGGTTTTAACGCCTGAGTGCCAATCGATACTATTTCTTTTATATTTTGTATTTCATGATAAATTGAAAAAAGATTTGAAACCTCTAACTTTAGAGGTTAAAGACATAAACTTCCGAAATGATTGTTCAATATCAATGCCATTTCCATCATAAAATATATTTGATGTTGTTCATATTGTCTGTTAATAGCGTAATAATAAAAGAATTATCATTATTATGAACTTCAGCAATTTTTGAATCGATAAATTCATTAAGGGTCGCCTGAGTGCGCCTTTACATGGAAAAATTGAACATTAAGTTGTAAGGAATTGATAATTTCTATAATTTGACTCCAAACTATAAAATTATTTTGTTGTTTAAGAATATGTCAAATATGCGGTTAGTAATTAATTGAATGGAATTGCGACCAAGTATTAATTACATTTTGACTATCTGTAAATATGGTAATATTAGTGTTGAATGGTGAAACAATTAATGCTGTTAAAATTGCAAAGGATTCCGCCCGATAAGATGATGGACAAGATGATATAAAAACAACTTTTGGTGATTCGTCATAAGCCTGAGCAAAACCATAATAGTTTAGTATTACTGGTTGAAGAGCAAGTTATCAATTTAAATGATAGGAATTTAATGATAGATAATGATTTAATAGGGGGAGATGAAAGGGCAATTTAAATTGGGAACATAATACATTGAGACTAAAAGATGGGATGAATAATAGAGATAAGATATACACAACGAGGATTTGGAGAAGGAAATAGAAACGAAAGTGATGTAAAAATACTTGAAGAAAATAATCCGATAGGGAAAAAATCTGACAAGAGAGTATTCATTGAAAATTATGAATCAGATGAGGATACTGAAGCAAAATCATTGGTATTGGCCAAAATATCAGCAGAGAGACATTAAAGACGTCCAATACTGATAAGGACAAATTTATGGAAAAATTTAAAGTAGGTAAAATTTGGCCACCTTTGATCATGTGATTTTATATTATAATATTGTATGAACATGAAAATTTGGCCGCTTATTTTAAAATTTGCTGTGACTAAGTGGTCCGAGCTGTATGTATTCAGATATTTTAATATAATATTATAACGAGTTATTTCTACAGTATTTTTTTTTCTGATTACACACAATAAATAATTAGCCGGAAATCCGGAATTAAGCTGTCTGTTTTTGTAATATAGCATATGTGCATACGCACATGTACGCCACAAAAACACAAAAAATTATTATTGGTATAGTGAAGATCATGAATATAATTCGTTGTACACCAATTTACTGCACTTGCCTATCTTAGTAAATCATTTTCAAATAAATAATGTAAGTTTCATGTTTCATTGTAACTAAAACAGCTAAAAGACACTCTCTTCTCAAAACTTTACATTTTTTAATTAAAAGACTAAAAATGACACAAAAAAGTTCGTTACATTATTATGAAGATGGTGATATTTTAGTAATAGTACAAAATGTAACATTTAGATTACATAAAAATATTCTATCGATAGCGTCAAAAGTATTTCAAGATATGTTTAAATGTGCTGTAGCATCCAGAGAAGATTTACCAACTATTAGTTTAACCGATACATCGTCAACAATATTTGAAAATCTATTATCATATTTATATCCACATAAATTTATACCTATTACATGGGAAAATATTATAGAATTTTGTGAATTAGCTGATAAATATGAAATATCAATGGTTCTTGAAGCAGCTGATAATTTTTTAAAGACTTATTTTCAAGAAAAACCTCTCATTTCTTTGGTCCTAGCCGATCGGTACAGATTTAAATATATTTACAAGGAAGCATCAAAATTAATTTTGGATAATTTGTTAGTATACAAAAAAGAACCAGATTTCAAAATAATTTCAAGTAATACAAGATGCGCTCTGGTAGAAAAATATTTGGATTTCACTCTCGCAATATCTTCATTCCAAGGATTAAAACATCAATATGATTATCAACATGCTTGTGAGAAAGAACCACATTTATATACAGTTTGTCTTAACAAACAAAAAACAACTATGTTATATGAAGAATTTTTTAATGGTATACATTTAGATCCTACAAAATCACCTTCTACAAATTTAAATATCTTTTTGGAATATTGTAGAAGATTTAAAAAGAAAAACGAACAATTAAATCAATGTGGTATTTATTTTATTCAAAATTATTTAATTGACAAGGTTGTTAAATATTTATTTTCAGGTGATGATAAAGCTGTTGATACTTTGGAAAGCGAAAAAGATAAAGAAGATCGCAAGTATTACCTATTAATTGAATTAAAAGATTAACAATGTGAATTTTAAAATGTTAAAAGAGAGAGAATTTTCATATTTTCAAGGTAAAGAAATTTTTCTTTTGTTGTATGTTGAAGTTTAGATTGTAAATAAAAAAAATAATTTTTTTTTTTTTCTTTTAGATCTTCTTTGGTAGTTTAAAACGTGGAGGGTATATATATATATAGAACTTAGATTTTTAGCAGCATCAAATTTAAAATATTGTAAATATATATCTTCTATTTTTTTTTGTTTCATTATAGAATAAACTTTTTGGTTAAAAAAAAAAACACATGCTAATTATTTGAATTTTTTTTAAATATTTTTAACGGGCATGATAATATGTTACCTTTTCATATTTAATAAGTTAAGGAGGTTCATTAGTGGGTGGGAGAGATTTGTTTTGTGCTTTGCAATAGATTCGTTTTCGTAGATCGTAAACATCGAATAAAAATACTGTAGACATCTTTTTGCAATTATTCAAGTTTTTTTTCAATTTGAAAGTCTATACCGATTTGAAATAAACATGGAAAATTATCAAACTATTTTATCATAATTCTATTTTATTTATTTAATTATTTAATTCGATAAATTTAGGTGAATCACTAAATTGGGCGCATTTAATATAGTTCGAGGTTAAATTTACAATAAAATGATAGTAACTCCTAATGTATTAATTGAATCATTAGGAAGGAACATCACCCAGACGTAAGTCATCAGATTTGCCGTTTTGTCACAAAGATGCAGAATTATTTTTATAAAGATAAGAGAAAATTTTCTATTTTTAGTCACAGATTTTCTGATTTTCCGCTGTTATCATCGTGTAGACCAAAATTTCTAAGTCCTTGCGTTCTTAGTTGACTCATCCTGTGGACTACTAATATATTAGCGAGAGGAAGATGTTCACAAATGTTTGATATTCAATAAAAGAAGGTTTCTGAACAGAGTTCAAATGTTCAATACACTGACTTGTTAATAACGTTTACTAGTTGATAATGAAGGCAATGTGAATCAGTTATATAACAATTATGCCGTCATCTGAATGGAACTACATGTAAAATAACAGAGAAATAATGTCAATTATTGATAAAAACACTCATTTAGATACAAATCATCCGAAGCAATTACAATTAAGTCGGAACGGTCTTAATGTTAATGTCGAATGTTGCAACCTACATAAATTTTCGATCACGTGATCGCGATTTAATTCATCACAGGTGTCATCCCCCCGTAGTATATTTATCTGAGAGTCACTCATTATTCATCACCCTGCACTTTCACGTGTTAGTGCATAACGCCGTAATGCGGGCTAAAAATTACGTGTTCGCATAATTTTTCTCGGTGTCGCGGGTAGTCCAATAATATCGCCTACTGTATTATCATAACTATACTATACGAATTTTTTAAAAAATCCTCCTGACCTGTAAAGATCGGATTTTCTTAATTGTTATTTGTAATTGAAACAGCACGTGCTTAAATAGGTTTTAGGATCATGATCGGTCTACGTCTATACGTCCATTAAATGCAGGGTATAATCATCATTGCGTCTGGACTAGTAGAAATATATGAAATAAATTTCATGTTTAAACATTATTGTTATTGGTAATAACTAGCAAATAGTAATTGATGTACTTTTATGTATGACTGATATTCGATCAATCTTATTGAACCAATAGGATTGTCGAACTCTAATACTGCATCTTTTTCCTAATTTTTCTCACCGATTGATTTTTCAAAATAATAAATATTTATTTAAATTATAAATCCAAATACAAAAAGATAATAATAAAAAAATAAAAATAAATAGACAATATAGAATAAACTAATAATAATAATAATTCCATATATATTATATATATATATAATTTTTAATCTTTATCAAAATCAAAAATATTTATAACTAAATCATCATATTTCTTCATTTTTTCCAATTTACCAAAAGATTGAATTTCTTTAGTTAAAATTTCCGATTTTTGTTGATTCTTTCTAAAAGTATCAAAATATTCAATTCCATAAGCTAAATAATTCAAATTATTATTATTAATAGCGAATTCTTTTAATATGTTTAAAATATTTTGTAAATTTTCAATATTATTATTTCTAAGTAATAAATTTTTTAAACCAATACGTTTACAAGTAATTAAAAAATCATTTAATTGATTTGGATCAATTGAAATATATAAATTTAAATAATCCAAATTATTTGGTAAAATTTTATCCAATTCTTTTAAAAGTTCCAAACTACCCTTTTGATGTTCATATTTGTTCGTATTATTTGGAAACAAATCTAATGCATTACTAGTATTAAAAGATTTAAAATTATATTCAAGAGTAAGATATTTAAGATGATTTCTAAAATGAGAGACTAAACTACAAATTTGAGGAATATTCTTATAATCAATATGATTTAAATGAAGGAATTTAATTTTATCACAATAATCAATAATATTATTAATTATTAATTCTCTTATAAATTCGATAGGAATACTTAAAAATAAATATTCCAAATAATTACCAATTTTTTGTAATAATAATTGAATTGAATTAGTACTAATATTTCCATCAGTTATTGTTAAAGATTTAATCATTAATGGAGTAGAAATATTAAGTAAAGGTTGAATAACATGAAGTTTAAAACCTAAACAATTAATAAGATAAAAATATTTAAGTTGAGTAAGATATTTAAGACCTCTAAATGATGAAACATTAATACTTGTAAAATCACATTCAAGAAATTTGAGTGATATTAAGGTTTTAGAACAATATTCAAAAGTATCAAATAAATAAATTATATCTGATTTTGTAAATGAAATTGTAATATGAGAAATATTTGATTGAGAATGAATAGTATCTGCTAAACTTTTTGTAAGTGGAACATCATTAACTTTTAAGTTAAGATTAAGATTTTTAATTGAAGTAAATAGGTTTGGTATAGAATATAAGAAAGAATCAAATTGATTTGAAAGATAAATATTTTTTGATGATATTGTAAGATAATTTATATCTTTTATAAAATTTGGTTTCATTATAATAAATTCAAATAAATCAATAAAGAAATTATTTTGTGATAAAATACTTATATTCAAATTATTTAAATTAGCATTATTTTTTATAAATAATTTGATTAATAAAGTACAAATAACATTTGACATATCCTTTGATAATAATTTTTTCTTATTATTTAAATTTATTATTGATTCATGATTTTTTAATGTTAATGAATCAATATTAGAATGATCTTTAATAGTTAAAGAAATATAAGATTTTGAATCTTCATTCTGATTTGTTGATGATGAATTTGATAATAAATTTGTTTGTTGAATAAAATATAACCAATTTACTACTTGCCATTCTAATTGATATGTACTTAAATTTTTAATAAAACTTGGATAATCAAATAAAGGTTTAAATGAAAAAGATTTTATTCTTTGAATAACTAAAGTCTCTTTATTAAGACATTTTTTATCTTCTTCATCTAAGAATAGAAAGTAAATATCAAGAAAATGATGTTGAAATCCATCCTTCCATTTAGTAAATAATGGATTTTCCCAAAGTATGGGAATAGCGAGACGACATAAAAATCTGTTGACTAAAACACATGAATAAAGTGATGATGTATCATCTCTTATATAGTATAGAATATTATTTGCCACTTCTGGTAAATTTCCAGAAAATAATTTTAAACATGCCATAGTGTTAAGGTGTATTTCTTTTTTTTAAAAAAAAAGAATAAAAAGGAGAAAAGAAAGAAAAATATTTCACACTAAAAAGTAAATCATTTCTAAAGATATACGAAATTCTTCTAATAGAAGGATAATTAGAATTGTATTAGAATTGTATTAGTATTACGGTGCTACGTTGCCCAACTTTCGGAAAATATCTGGCGGATATATAGAAAATATTCGTATGCAATGATGACCACATGTTTGTGAATCGGAAATACCCGATAACCGGCAACGGATAACTCATATGTCCGAAAGTTGATTCACACAATAAGATAAATAAGATATATATGAACCCGTGATATAAAAAGAATTATAAGAATTCAATTCAGTTACATCATTATATTTTAGCCCAATCAAATGATATGGAAATTTAACAATAAAATTCGAGTATAATCATAATTTTAATTTATTAAATCGCAATAATAAAAGCTAATTTAATATTTATTAATTCGCAATAATATAAAAGCTAATTTAATTTTCGTCTCATAATATAAACCCGTGCCGCTTTAAAGTTTGCCTATTGACATTTTTTATTAGCATAAATATCCTTCTCTATCATAAAAATAATTCTTGAAGCTTTTCTGTAACTAAGAACGAGGGGTGGTAAAAATGAACATTAAAAGCGAGGAAAGTAAACAAATTATAAATACGAATTAATTTATAGAATATTATTTCGATAAAATAGGGTAATTGGGTATAATTTATAATATAGATAGATTATGTGAGACTTGAAAGATCGACGACGATAAAAATATACTTAATATATATAATAATAGATACTTGAATATCATATATATATAAAATTATTCAATATGTTATATTTTTTTTTTTTTGTTTTTTTTTATAATTTTTTTTTTGTTTTTTTGTTTTTTTTTGCTTTTATTATAACTTTTTACTCAATAGTTATTTCATCTTCGATTTCTCCTTCCGTCCTTTCACTTTCTTTTTGAGTTCTTGATCTTTCTCTTCGTTCAATTAAATCTGTTTCGGCGAGATTTTCCGCATTATCAGTATGATTCTTGATATCATTATCAATAATAGAAGATTTCTCAATTTCACTTACAAGCTTTTTGACTTGTTTAATCCATTTTTGTTTTTTTTTATTAGAAACTAACGTAAATGTATTAGAAGAACTACATTGAATACATTGAGCTGTTGCTTTACGAAATTTTTTAATTAAATTTTTCCATTCCTGTTTTAATTCATTTTCAGAAAATTTTTTAAGTTTATTTTCAGATTTAATTGATAATTTAATTTTTTCTGTAGAAGCTATCGACTCTTCGGAAGATGAATTTCTTTTCTTCAAGTTTAAAAATTGGGAAATTTTAGATATGATTCGACGAATAAAAATTAAATCGGATTTGATACTTGATTTAGGAAGAGATCGTAACGTGCGAACCGGTCGATCATCCATATTTATACCAGCTTTATCCATAATTTCGCGCTTTTTAATTAAATAATACTTATAACATAAGATGATAGCTGGCATTAACCGCCATACCGTAGCTTCTTCGTTCGTTAATTCATCAGGTTGAAAATCCCTATGAACATAAACCCATAGAGAATAAATTTGTTCATATTTATAACATAAATTGATATAAGATTCATTCGCATCAATCATTGAATCTAATGTATCAAATTCTTTTAATATCGCATCAATACGTTGAATGCGTAAGTCTCTTCTTTGATCAACAATATCTTGTATCGATTGACTAGTTGACGCATCCATTTTTTTTTTTTTTTTTTTTTAAATTTTTTTTACTTTTTTTTTTTTTTAAATCGTTAAATGGATTGCGGTCAAATATGGATGATGCACGATGATTTCGAAAAAAAGGATTTAAATGGCAGGGATGAGAAAAGGTATAGAATTTAGATCTATTTATACTTGATTATTTTATGGAAAATTGGAAAAGTTTACAATTTTTTACTAACCTTAATTTAACTACGATACGATATATTACAAACCGCGTTATCGAATTGTTTTCCCAGTTGGGCGAGTAAATAAAGTAAATAAACAGAGAAGAAATTTATTGATACTCCACGAGAATTATTTGCACATAATTGCATGTCCAATATTTTTCTGTGAAATTATATTAATTATAATTAAAATAAGTATATTAGTATGATATATTAGGATAGTACTGATTAATATCTACATCAGTAAAAACGTTTCTAATTGACTGAACCATAAATGAATTTCTGCTTACTACAACAAAAAAGTAGGGATATGTTACAAAATTTATCTTGTTATACAAAATATAAAAGGGGTACGCCGGAATCATCGGCCGTTTCGATATTAAATTTACAGTTTATTTATTAAGGTTATTGGGGGTTTTTTTTTTGTGTGTTCTAAGAGAAGTTGAAAATAGACAAATTCTACTTTCCCAATCTTTTTTTTTTTTTGGAGGGAAAAAGATATTTTTATAATTTTTAATTCTAATTAGCATATTTACCAGAAATTTCCAAAGATGATGATAAATACTCATTATTCAAGATAAAAGATTCAATAATTAGAATAGAAGAATCTACGTATCTAATCATGTGACAATTAAATCATTTGTCGGAGTTAATTTTACCGAATTCGCCATGTTTATATTATACTATAAAAACTTTCATTTTGTAGCGATCTACATGCACCTAACCCGAGTTTTGGCGCGGTAATTTTGGCGTAAAAAATTTTTTATCTGTTATATCGACTCAAATATGGCAAAATAACAAACTGTATAGTCCGATTTTTTTTTTCTTTTTTATTTTCAGAAGGAGATTAAGGAGATTTCATTTAAAATTATTTCTTTATTTAATAAATTAAGAAATTATTTTTGTCATATTAAATTTTTAATTATTTTACGGTTTCATATACTTTTTGTAAATAAATACATGCGTTAATTAAAAAAATATATATAATGTAAAGAAAAACATTAATCTATCGATGTTTTGATTTTTGGCTGCGCAAAAAAATTTATCTTTGCGTAATTTAAATTGTGAACTCTTCCAATTCATTCACAATCTAAGTTCAGCATAAAGAATTAAAATAATTTGTTTACCAATATAAGAATTCATACTTCAAGAAATTTTAAAAACCAACATTTTATAACTTTGTGTGATTCGCATTTATATTTCAATTTCACTAAACCTAACATTTGATGACAACGTAGTAACTTTCATAACGATGTGTATGACGTATTCTTATATATAGGAGACAAAAGATAATTTTGATTATTAATATTATTAACCCCTAAAGATATCAATCGTATAAATCGTACAGTAAATCAATTTGTTCGCCGAATTTGAAACGATGATGTTATACGCGTTATCTGTTATCGCGTTATAAGCATGTGTAATATGTTACGTATATATATCGTTATAAAGCATACGTAATATGTTACGTGTATATATATATATATAATTTATAGGCAATTAATATTAATAATTTAATAGTTATGACGAATTCGTAAAAAAAAAATTATTATTATTATTATTATTATTATTATTTTTGTTTAAGAGAATTATATTCAGAATAAAGAAGGTTTCCTATTATGTAAATGAATTGAAATAGAATAAAAATGAATTCGATCAAGTTACACATAACTAGCAATATTTAGAAATGTTAGACATGTTCTCGAAGATAATTGATCGGCTAAAATAATCATCCTGACCCGGTTTATTTTTTATTTTTTTTTATTTTTAGGAATCGGAGAAATTTTTCATTCATTATTTAAATTGTGCAACATAAGATCTTTTGTAAATTCCTTTTTTGATCAAAAATCCTATTACATGCATCTTCATCTGTTCAAAATTTTTGTTAAATAACCGATAGTGTAATTGCGATTTGATTTATTTTGGAAGGTAATCTTACTTATGCTTATGTTCTATGCAAAGAATGATGTCGCTTGTTTTTAAATCTAGAAAAAACTTAAAAAATTAATTGATTAAATGCATAAATAATAATCTTCTATGAATTACGAAAATAATAAGAACAAAGTAGTTGATTCTTACTTTTTACATGCAGGTTTCATGCAAATTTATATACGAGATAATGTACGTCTTTAAATTCAGTATATAGGAAACTTCTGCGCATGATGGACTTGATTAATCAATATTTTACCTGTCCATTATATGGCTTGATAATCAGTAATTATAGTAAATATAATTTAAAATGTAATGTTTCTTTTGTACTCTTTTCCCTTTCTGAAAAACAAGGGTAAATTTAATTTTTAATTTTCTTTAATGATATCTTTTATCTTTGTTGATATAATTACAACAAATATCTTTATTTAAATTAGGTAAACAAAAGTGTTTATTATCAAACCCAATAAATTCCTTTAGATCAAAATCGTGAATATAATAATTATCCGTTTTATTTGATTTATTTTATTTATTAATAAATCAAATATGTTTGTTACTTTAAAAAAAAATTAAAGAATGCTTCTATGAAATAACATAGAAAGTTTACAAAAACTGTGGCGTTTAAATTATACAGCATGGCGTGCTTAATAATGATATAATGATAGCATCGAAGTGTAAAATATGATCCCCTAAGCAATATAGAAATTTTACAAGAATATATTAATAAAAACTGTGGCGTTCGAAAAAAAAAATATGTATATACATCATTGGCGTGCTTAATAATGATGGAAGAAAGCGCATTATACATGATCATTTATCCGTTTTTGGATTTTTTTCTATTTTTACTATAATGTAAATGGCGCGGATCTTCAGTGTGCAGACTACAAGCTTATCATACTAATTTAGGTCAAGTTTAAAAGTTAATTTGTGTTAGGTAGATCTTTTTATATTTAATATACCGAATATTTTATGATCGGCCCGTAGCAGATTGTAAATATTTATGCGATCAACATCCAATCATATTTGACATATCAGGGAATATCGATTTAGCATTGTTCCAGAATTCCAGATTTTTTCAAATTACTTTTTCTTCTTTTTTTATTTATTCTTTTTGAAAATGAAGTGGCTAAATTGCAGTTAAATGTATCATACGACAGGTCCCAAAGGTTTAGGCCGAACGAATCAACATGATCTATACCGGAAATCCTATTAATAAAATATATGCTTGAACATAAATGGTACTACAGTACGATATATAATACAAAAGTAATCAATTATTACACTTGAATTGAACCAATAAAGTCAATATCACAATCGCAATAAACCCTTATCTTTATTTTCACAGCATATACAGTATATTACCTTTTAACTAATCTGTTCGACAATATTGTAAAGATAATGTTTATTGTAAATTTGCAGGATGAATTTTTAGGTTTGTGAAGTTTAATCGAATATGTTTAATCGAATATTCGATTTTATAGAAATACAAAGTACATTTTATATTTTCGATAATGATATACGAAAAAATTTTTAAATCTTGCGAAAACCCGAGATTTCCCAGTGCCTTTATATAGAAAAATTTATACAGAAAGGGATGTAAAATGGGAATATTTTATTATAAAATTAATGTTTTTTATAAGCAAATTTCTCCAAAAATTGATTTTTTTTGGGAGTTTTAGCTTGAAATATCCCCCATTTTAAATCTTGTTCTAATCTCGGGTTTTCACAAAAAATAAAAAAATATTCATGAAAAGTTGAAAACGGCGATAAAGAAAAAAAATATAAATTAAATAAAACTAAGCAGATCGACTTTATACTTTATATCTTCTTCCTGATTTAATATACATCATTTTTCATTTCTTCCAAGAATAATTAGCTTATATGGATTAATGATTATTCTCAAGTGTGTATTATTAATTTCATTTATAATTTATCAACCATGTACTTTCATTATAATTATCAATTGTCAAAAAAACCATATCAGATATATTCATTTATTAACTATTTTAGAGTGATCAGCGTGTTGAAGTTAAATTTCTCATACTGTTTTCAAAATTTCTCTTTAAGGTCCATAATCAATATTGCCGCATCTTAGAACTCCAATTATAAGGTAATTTGATTATTAGTAAAATAATGTTAAGTACCTTAAAAGTTAATCGTGATCGTATAATTCTAATATTTGCTATAGTTTCCTGGAATCTACCTTTCTCTTATAGACAAGTATGTATTTCTTAAAAATAATTTTAAATATAAGACCAAATATGTATTAATATATCAATCAGTAATCTTTTACTTGAAAATTAGTACCTCTTTAAAAGAATAAAAAAATATTTTATATGAAATAAAGAAAGTGGAATCTGTCTTTTTACTATTAAAACCAGATTCAATTTCCCTGGATTTTATTTAAACGGATTACTAATTAAATACTGTAATAGTGTAATTAAATTTCATCCTGCTATAGTTTTTTAAACTTGATTCAATGATTCATGGCTCGGACTTGTGATCGAACTTGTCGATCTGAGCTGTAGCTGATCCTGCTGCGGCTCCATGGCTCGAATGGATCGTTTTTTATATTATTCCAACATTGTAAATAACTTGAACTTTTTCTAAATTTTTGATTATTTTTTATTTTTTTACACGAAAGAAACATGCCGATGAATAATTTTTTTTTGTGCCGTACGTATTTTATCGGAAAATACGTTACCGGGTACATCTGGAACGCCGATCCAGGCGATCTGCATTTGAGGTGCTTTATAAAATGACGCATGACGATCTTTTTTTTTTTTTTGAATTTGAATTGAAGCAAATATAATAATTTAATCATTGCTACAATTCAAATCAATAAATTAATTTATTAATCAAATTAGGTTGTCAAATTGAAATGGAAGTTGTCAATAATCCTTCAAAAAGACGTGGTATAGCTCCAGTTAAAGCAGAGTATTTGTCAGATTTATTTTGTAAAAATTGTCTTTTAAATGTATAAAAACACCAATTAACACCATTAACTAACATAATTTAAATAGATTTATTATCAATAAGCAAAATATACAAGAAAATTGTGAGTCCGTTTTTGGTGACGAAGAAGCGGGTGATAATTCTAAAAATAAAGTAAGAAATAACAATGATTTAACTTTCAAATTTTTTTTTTTTTTTTTTTGAAATTCATTATTTAAATTTTTATATTATTATAGGAGCCATCAAAAAAGAAATCTCGGGTTACAAGGAAAAGAGGACGAAATAAAGAACAAGCAAAAAATACGTTTGCTGAGCCAATTCGTGTTAGTATTTCTAAATATTTTAATGTTATTATGTTTATACTTATAATCTCTTATTTTTTTTATGTTTTGTAGTTGTGCCATAAAATCTCTTTGGGTGAACAATGTGACAATGAATTGTATGTTTAGATAATTATAAAAAAAAATTATCATTCAAAAATATTCTTTAACATATATAACTTTTTTTTTTTTTAGTTGTAAATTCAGTCATGATTTACAAGCATATTTAAAAGTCAAGGGTGAGGATTTAAGTGATAGATGTCCTAACTTTGAGAAATTTGGAAAGTATGTATTTATAATTAAAATTATTAAATTTATTATAAAGTATTATTCTAATATCAGTTAATTTGTTTAAAGATGCCGATTTGGATATAGATGTCGTTATTTAAAGGCTCATTTGTCACCTGATGACAAATTAATTGTGAATGAAGAAGTAAGATCTTAATTTAAATCATCATGATAATAAGGCGTAGGATTAAAAAATATTCTTTTTTAGCTTGCATCTTCTGGGATATTTGTTGAAGAAAAAAACAATCAATCTACTCAAGTCCAAAAACGACTCAGGACACATTCGGTATTTAATAATATTTATTATCACATTCATAACCCATCTTTATTTTCATATTCACTAACCTTTTTGTTAATACAGTATAAATTTCCTAAAGCTGATACATATCTTGCAGAGATGCAGCAGGAAATTGAAAAACAAAAAGAGTTAGAGAAAGCTAATAGATTAGCAAAATCAAATCCTGATAATAAACTTAACAAACCATCAGAAGAGAGCAATGTCGATTCCGGTACTAATGTAGAATTATCAGAGCGACTAGATACAAATGAAGTAAAAGTTAATGATTTGAATGAAGACATTACATTGAAAGTTGAGGAGGAATCTGATAAAAGTTTTGGTTCAGATACTGAAAGTACAAATACAAAAAAAAGGATAAAATATGAAAATGGTGATTTTGAGAACAAGGAAAAAGTAAAACTTGAAGAAGAAATAGAATTGAAATCAAGAGATGATGTTAATGTAGAAGAATTTATAGATACTCCAGATGTGCCACTCCGCACTCGTGAAAAGAAAAAGGTAATCTATTACCTTATTTTATCTTTATTTATTTTTTTTATGTATCTACAAGATTATTATCATCATTTATTGATTTATTTATTTTATCAAAAAAGATGACATTTAAGAATAAGTTATATCTAGCACCTCTTACCACGGTTGGAAATTTACCTTTCCGACGTATTTGTAAGGAATTTGGAGCTGATATAACTTGTGGAGAAATGGCAATGGCAACAAATTTATTACAAGGACAACAAAGTGAATGGGCTTTATTGAAGAGGCATATTAGTGAAGATTGTTTTGGTGTACAAATTTGTGGTGCAAAAGCCGAACATCTTGTAAAATGCGCTGAGATGTTAAACAATGAAATTGAAGCTGATTTTATTGATGTAAATTTGGGCTGTCCTATAGATCTGGTCTTTAATAAGGTTAGAAATTAGATAGATAAGGTGAAATTTTGTTTGAAGAATGGTCTGATAATAATATATATGTAGGGAGGCGGAAGTAAACTATTAATGCATGATGGTAGATTGGGGAAAATTCTTAAGGGAATGAATAAGGTAAATGAATTACTATTTAAAATTTTCTTTCAATATTTTTTTATTTTATTATATAATTAGTTTTAATTCCCTCTTCTCACATTACATTATGATTAGGTTATGGATATTCCTGTAACAGTGAAATTGCGCACAGGAATTTTAGATAATATGCCACTTGCCGCTAAATTAATTCCTAAATTTCAGAATTGGGTATTTATATATCTTTATAACTATTTATTGCATAATTATTTATTATTTTATATTGATGATTTTAATTATAGGGAGTTGAATTGGCCACGGTTTGTTATAATTGACTATATAGTTATTTAATTATGCCATTCAAATGTTTATTTTAAAGAATTTTTACTTTAAATATATAGCTACATGGTCGTTCACGTCAACAAAGATACACAAAACTTGCCGATTGGAAGTATATTACTGAAGTCTCATCCAAAACGAATGGAATGAGTTACTTTGGTAATCTAATTTGACCGATTTATTTTTTGTCTTTTTTTTATATATATATATAAATATATTGGAATTTCAATAATATTATAATAGGCAATGGAGATGTGTTGGGATATGAAGATTATTATCATCACATTGAAAACGATCATGTTGATGGGGTTATGATTGGACGTGGAGCTTTGGTACTATTACTTTTTATCTTTTTAAACTTGTAAATTATCGTAAAATTATCGTTATTAATTATTATTTAATTACATTAGATTAAACCCTGGATTTTTGATGAAATCAAATCTAAACGACATTATGATATTTCATCAAAAGAAAGATTTGATATACTAAGAAAGTTTTGTGATTACGGAATGGAACATTGGGGCTCCGATACAATCGTTAGTTGAAATATTTTAAAACATTTTCAATTACTTGTTTAAGTTGAGATTATTTATTTAGTTCCTTAATTTCATAGGGTATAAATCAAACTAGAAGATTTTTATGTGAATGGATGAGTTTTTTATATAGGTAAATTTTTAACTCGATTTGATTAACTCATTCATAATTATTTTATTTATTTATTTATTTAAATCATTATTTAAATTATTAGATATATTCCTGTTGGATTGCTTGAAGTATTGCCACAGCGCATAAATGAGAGACCACCCGCTTTTCGTGGTAGAGATGATTTAGAAACATTAATGGCAAGTCCAAATAGTAAAGATTGGGTTAAAATTAGGTAAGATTTAATCTTTTTTTCATTAAGATTTTATTAACTTTATCGTTTAATATATGTTTTTTTTTTTTCAGTGAAATGTTATTAGGACCTGCTCCTGATAGTTTTGTATTCGTACCAAAACATGCTTCAAATTCATATGAAGGCTAATCTATCCCTCGATTGATAAGATTCCCGTCACAAAATCGTCAATAGGATAAATATTATTTATTGTTCATCAATACTTACTAATACCTACCAATACATATTTAATTTAAGATTTTCCACAACTTTAAATAGTTTATTTTAATTTGTTGTAATTTCAACACGTCTAACGGTTTAAATGCGATCATTTCTAAATAAATTTTTCATTAGATAAAATAAGGCTGAGCGAACACAATTAACGTAATTAGTAGATTTATCATGTAGATCGGTTGAGGTTAATTTACCAAAACACGAGTTGTTTTTTTTTTTGATAACTTTACCAACACTTAGTCACTTTTTTTTTTTTTGACTTTTTAATTTATTTTTAACTTCTTACAATGATGGGTAACGAGGATAATTTCGAGGAAGACCAAATAGAATGGGTTTCTGGTATTTTTGTTATTTTTTTTCTTTTTTTTTGAGTTAAAATACTCAAAAAAAAAAATGTATAATAAATCAAGGGACAAAGTTATATATATATGTGTTATAAACCAAAAGGTTCTTCTCCGAACAGTTCACGCAAAATTGTAAGACATACAAATTCTTTAGAAATCCCTTTAAAACAAATCAATTTCAACAGTTCAACAAGCTCAACAAGCCAAGCCATTCATGCATCCACTGAAGAGGATTTGGCGTTGTTTTTTGACGACAAAACAGAAGTTTCGATTTTCCTAAATAATATGAAGGATGAAGTATCATTTGGAATAAAAGAAGTTGAGTCATATAGAATTACCCGGGATAATTCTATAATCTTAAAACTTAAACCCCGCTTTAGTAAATTTGTAATTATTTATATATATATGTATATATATATATATTATTTTTATTTTTTCATTCTATTCATTTTTTTAAAAAATAAGATTAATACTAACCTCTAAATAAATATTAGTATTACTATCATCCAAAGGGTTTTTCGTTCAGAAGTAATTGTGTCCCGAGGGATATGGATCCAACTGGTGGAAAATTAAACGGTGTAACCTGCATTATCTTTCAATCGAGTATTCCTATCGAACGAAATGATTTTGAATTAATAGATGGATGGATCAGAGCAATGATTAATAGATCAAAGAACAGTAATTATGTAAATAATTTTTTATTATGTAAACTTTTATATTTTTTACATACTTATTCATATATAATATTTGTAATTATCTTGAAAGAGTGACTCTCGAAGAATGAGACATAATGATTTTACGTATAATTCAAGACCAAATTTTAATAGAGACAATAGAGACAATAGAGAAAAAAGGGACAGTAGAGACAGTAGAGACAGTAGAGACAGTAGAGACAGCAGGGATAGGAACAGAGTACCTCCTAGGGTACAAAATAGTTCTGCAAAACCAGATGATCCACTTGATATATTACCTATTAACTATGACAATGCAATGAAAAAACGAGAGGTAGAATATTTAATAATGTTATCTATAATATAATATTGTTCAAGTATCTAAATTTTATGTTTAATTTTGTAGTTATATATTACTTGTATATACCCTACTCAAAAACGTGCCATTATCTATCCATCTGATGGAATTTTCAATCACTTCCAATTTCATATCAAACAAAGATTTGGTTGGAAATGGGAAAGAATGTGGTACAAAAATAACAAGACTGGAGGTTGGAATACTCTAAATAATGAAGATGTTTGGGCGGCCGTAAAAAAGCAGGTTATGAATAAACCTGTTCCTAGAATTGAGGTTTTTATGAGATAATCAAATACTTTTTTTTTATAGAATAAATGTATATTAATTAAAAAAAAGAAAAAAAATTCTCTTGTAATTATCTTTTTTTTTTCCGATAAATAAAAAAATTTTTTTTTTTTTTAACAAACAAATTTAAAAAGATTGTTTCTATTAATCAGCTAATTAATTTTGGTTAAGCGTAATTATGGTAATAATTCAAAGTTTATGTCGTGACACAAGGATGCTTTTTTTTTCAGAATACATTTCGGATCAGTCAGATTCTTTGATATTCTTGTGGCAGAAACTGATTAACTGATAAAGCTATTGGCTGAAGATACTTAAAATAATCAAGAAAGTAGACCATAAAATGATGTAGAATAAAGATTATTGAAAGTTCATGATAGAAAAAAAATTATGATCACAAATTTTATTTATCATCTGTTATTTCATTTACATTATAAAATCTATTTCAAGTATTTAGAAAATTTAGGAAATGTTTTATTTTGCTTGAATGTAAAAGAATTGAAGGACAAATAATGCTAAAACTTTTAAAGAATATTATTTACATATAACTCATTTAAACCTTTCTACCTTTCTATGTAATTCACAAGATTTTAGCATCAATTTTTAAAAAGATTTCACTAGTTAAAAAATATTTAATCATAAAAAAAAAAAAATTCACAAAAATGAAATTATGGCTTCATATAAATCTCAATCCTAATAAAACCTTTTTCAATCAATCTTTCATTTATAGCAAATTGCCAATCCTTCTCATTAATTAATTTATCCCAATAACCATTACTTGATTTATACCAGAGAAAACGCCATTCATGTCTTTTTTCAAATCGATTTTTAAGTTGCATTTGAAGATAATATAACGAACCATCAATTGGATAAAACATGACATATTTTCGCGTTGGAAAAGTAACCGTAATATATAACTTTAAAAAAAAAATTGTTAAAACTTATAAAATCATTTATTAAATACAACATACAGTATATGTGTATAAATTACCTTCTCCGGTTCTTTTGGTTTCTTATAAATATTATCATTTTCGTAGATGGAGTTTTTTTCATTAGAACGATTCATTCTATTATTAGGAATATATTCATTATGCTGAACTTTGCTCTTTTGATGTTGTTGACCATTCACATGTTTTTGTCGACGATTTTGCGAATTCCAATCTAAATTAATTTCACATCCATGATCGAATTTATTGCTTTTATTAAAGTTTGAATTGTTTTTTGTCTTGATCTTGCGGAACGAAGTAGTAACTTTACGAGTAACAGATCTAGTTTCTTCAGTGGACAATTTCTGATATAATAATATATAATATATTTGTTTTTTTTTTCAGAAAATGTGAGACTAAAATTCGAAATTTAATGAATCTATAAATTTCAGAATTATATATATATATATATATTTCTTATTATGAATTACCATATTTTGAATTCTTTTTAATCTTGATGCATTTTCAATCTGTCTCATTTCAAATTTAATCTTTTTCAAAAATCCAAAATCAGAAGCATGTAAAGCTTTTACAACCATTCTCTCACAAAAAGCAAATTTCCCTTTGGTCGGATCTTCATCTAATTTTACAGGTGAAGATACATAAGGAAAACCTTCTTGATGAAAAAAAAACTAAAAAATAATAATAAGATAGAATTTTTTTTGAATATATATATATATATGATGAGTAAAAAAAAGAAAAACTTACAATTTTCATGCATTCACGTTTAAACCTAATCTCCATCGTTTTTTCATCTTTAATAGTACATCCCAAAAGTTGATGATATGGTATGACTACTTCATATTTCATTTCATCATAACAAATAGAAAATCTTAATGTAATTGGATTAAAAATAAGAGCCATTTGATTCGTATCATCTGCAAGTATTTCTGGAGAAAAACGAAATTTTGAACTAAAAAATTTGATCCTTCTTAATTGTGCACGTATATAATCATCATCCGCATATTTGTTCACAAGTTTAGAAAGTTGTGGTGGACCTTTTTTTCAATATATTAATGTTATATATATACAGTATACATGATTACACTCGACTATACGTAGTTTATAAATCTTACGTGGTGTAGGACTAGAGTCACGGATAACCCATTCAATATCATCATCATCATCATTAACTTGCGTATTTTTCATTCTTGAAAAGGAAGAATCTTTACAGAATATTTATTTTTATTTTCATTATTAAAAAAAAAAAAAGTATAAATTATAATTTTTTTTTTTTTTTTTCGTAATACAAATTTACCTGCCCCGTAAACAACATTAGCCTGATTTGATTTATTGATTATTTCATCCATAATGAACGAAAAAACGAAAAACTTTCGTGATTACAAAGAAGAAAATTGAAAGATTGTTTTTTTTCCCCCGAAAAAAAAAAAACCAAAAAAAAAAAAAAATAAAATAAAATAAAATAAATAAAACAATATCAATATTTATAATGATGTGTGATTTGTTTAAAAGTTCTTATTAAGTACCGTAATTCGACCTTTAATAATCATTAAATTTTTTATTATTTACATCTAAACTTATTTAATTACATACCGTAAATGGTGAACTATAGCAAAAAAAATTGATATCGTTAAAACGAAAAAAATTTTTTTTTTATTCCATAATATTTCGGGGGGGGAAGAAACTAGAAAGGTCTAATAAGAATTTTATATACAATGAGATCGAAATATGAACGTGTTAGTCGTGTTATCATCAAGGCGATCAAGCTAACCTTATAATACAAGTATAAAAAAAGGGGGAAATTAAATTGTATTATAAAACTTTGTTATAAATTTATCAATAATTGACTGTTATCTACGGACAATATCACTACAACATCTTATTATACATTACTGTAATAGTATAATTATATTATATAATTAAAATAATTCTATTTCATTTCAATAAAAGAATAACTATTAGCACTATCAATATTTTTATCACGTTCAAGTCGTTCAAATTTTTGAAAGAAACCACATAATTCCATCATAATATTATAATGAATACGACAAGGTACAGACTTATTTGAAATAAAATTTTTTATAAAATCCTTAAAATAATGAAAAGAAGTTGATTGTGATTGTGATAAATCAATTGAAATAAAATCATTATTAATATAATTTACGAAACATGTATTTTTTAAACAACATGGAAGTTTTTTATATGATCTAGAAACCAAAAGAAGTTCTGACCATAAAAGATGATAATCCAAATATTTTTCAAGAAGTAAAGATCTTGTATTAGTAGAAAGTTTTTGGAAAAGTTCATCATTCTTTGATTTATACTTTGGTAAATCATCTAATATTAATTTTGAAGTTTCCTTATAAACTTTTTTAAATCGATATTGATCTGCCAAAATTATTGAAAAAAGAGGTTTTTCAACAAAATGAAGTTCTAAAAATGTTTCAACAGCTTTAAGTACTATATCAACTTCATATTTATCCCCAAGTCGAGAAATTTCTTCTACACAATTCCAAGTAATTTTAAAATTTTTATCATGATATATAAAAGAAATAAGATATTCGAATGGTTTAATTGAATTTTCATCAAGTTTTATAGTAGGTAAATTTTCATTTGAAGATGGTTTCGCGTAAGCAAACATATCTTGAAATATTTTTGAAGAAATTGATAATATAATCTTGTGTAAACGAAATATGGTATCTTGAATTATTATTAAAAGATCCCCATCTTCATAATAATGAATAGAACTTTTTTGTGTCATAATTCGTGTTTGGAAAAAAAAATGATTTTTTACTTCGAGAGAGAGAGAAAATCATCATATTTCTAAAAAAAAAATTAGTCATTGAAATTTCATGAATCATGATGTAATTAATCAATACTTTTTTGTATACATCCTTATTATTATAGAATGTAACGTATACGGTACTCTCCATTGTAAAATCACTATTTTAAGATATCTACCTTTTAAAAAAAATTAATAATATTTCATATGTTATTAACTTAATAAGGATTCAAAGTTTTATTTGATTTCCATTTCAAGACTAATCGTAAAAGAATAAATAATAAGATTATGGCATAATGATGTCAATCAATTGAGATTGCCGTCAATATTTTTCAAAACCACCATTGATTGTAAAAAGCGTGAATAAAATTGAACAGCAATTTTGTATCGTCATGACGTCATCTCGAAATAGTATACATTTGGGATCAATGATATCTACCAAAATTTGTCCTTTAATATGATTAAAATTATGTTAAAGGTTCCAATTCCTTAATAACTTTTTTAACGTTCAGTAGTAACTTGTAGTGAATTCCCTGATTTTTTTTAAGGTAGGCTGCAGCTAGAATAGTATTATATCGAAAAACTTCATATTCTGGAGTAGTAAAAGGTTTTTATATTGGTATTGATTGTTAATATTTAAAAAATGTGATTTCCATAAATTTTTGGAAAAGAAATTTGTTTTCCATAACTTTCTTTCATCCCATCATAAAAGTAATCTATCAAAAACTTCAGACTTTATCGTTAAGATTGCTTTAACTCCATACAATTTTCATATCACTATATTTTGGATTATTTATCAACAATCTTAAAATCTTTTTAGAAATGATAGATCACATAGATCGGACAATATTTATTGTAAATTAACCGTAAATGGTATCAGGACATTTCGCCGAAAGCCATTTCGCCGAAAAATAATCTCTGGCCTGAGTTATTTATAATTCTGCATAATGTTGGTCCTATTTTTCGGCGAAACGTCCCTTTGGCGAAACGTCCCTTCGGCGAAACGTCCTTTCGGCGAAATGTACCGTAACCGTATGAGGGGATAAATATCTTAATTTGATAGAACTAAAAATGATTAGCCTAACGGCTAATCGTCTGTTATCTTTCAAATCAAATAACTCCTTAAGTCAGGTAATTTTTGTTCAGGTAATTTTATTCATCTTCAAAATGACAACGCCGACTGGCCAAAACTCTAAAAAAAAAAAAGAAAATTACCAATAATGAACCATTCGTATTGAAAAAGCTTTATCTAAACTTGATCTTATTGCAAATTTGGAATTCGTGCACGTAATGCATATCATATTAGAATGAAATTGTATTTAGTAAATTCATGTCGGTTACAGCTATACGGAAAACCTTGGACTTACTTTTGCATATGATTGATACGTCGATTCATATAAGAATGGAGAAAAATTTGCAAAAATGAAATTATATAATGGAGACACACAATTCTTAATAAAATTATGTAAAAGCGTTAAAAAGAATGCCAAGAAAAGGATTATATTAAATTATTGGTTCGTCTGAAAAGTTCGTCTATCATTAAGATAAATATAAATATATGACTTGATAAAAAGAAAAAAAAAAAAATTCAAATATTAATATCACTAAACGCTTTAATCTAACAATATTTTACAATGAAATTTCTGTTCTGGTTTATCGCTCTTGTTTTTATTGTTCATGCCATGACAGTTCACGCATCGCCTATCCGTGAAGGTAAAGTTTTGTATGATTTAAAATTTTTTATCTGCACTTAAATTATTAATTATTAAATTATGATACCATTTAATTAATAGTTAAATATAGCGAACTCATGAAACGTTGTAATGATGGTGGTGCTGGTTGTGGCTCCGGTGATGGTTGTAGCTGCGATACAGATGGAGTTAATAATTAGTGCTCTAGTTTAGTTCACTAATTTTATTTACAGTTTCTTGATTTTCTTGTAATATTAGTATAGTATTACATTTATTAATCGTCCCGACTAGAATATCGGTCAATGGTTGTTGGCTATAGATTATTTAAACCTTCTCATGATTTTTTACTTATCTGTTGATATTTTTAAAATATTTTACCTTTTTTACCTTGAATTTACTTACGACGGTTCTATTTATTAAATTTAGAAAGAAATATCTTAAAATATTATAGCTGACGATTGGAGGATAATATACAAAATTCATTAGTATTATAAAATAAATCTTATATATCATGTAATTTATATCTCTATTTTATAATAAATTATCGCACATACGATAATTATATTTCTGATATTGTACGGACACTGGTAATGAAGTTGTGCCTTTCAACAGAGTCGGTAATTGGATTTACATTTTATTCCTGCAAATACTTCAAATTCATTCAAACGAAAGTATATATGTTGTTGTTTTACGTGACAGTTCAAATTACAGAATTAATTTTACATTTACACGATTTCAAAGTTATCATAAAATTTTGATGTAAAAATTGTGAAATGAAAAACTAAAAATTTTATTTATTTTTAATATAATACAAATATAAAATGAAAATAAAAATATAGTAATATATAAAATTCCTAGAATAGATTACATATATATATATGTATTTTTAAGTTATTAAAAACCAAATGCATTAACAAAAGAATCACGACCAGCAACCAAATTATTTACTCTATTAAAAGTCAAGTAAGGTGTAATTGATGAACCGGTTCCAGGAATGACATTACGTTTGGAAACGAATAAAGCATTCGCCTGATCAGAATCATAAAAATTAGCAGAATCATTTTGAGTCGTACTAGCTGAGACTTTGAGTTGATTTAAATTTGCTTCTTCATTTGCAGCATTTAATGATGGTTGATTTACAGTGTAACAAAAAAAATCGGAATTAAAAAATTGTCTGTAACACCATGATGATCGCACCAAATTTATATGTAAAATAGCTTATTCGAAAGCTGAAAACTTATCAATGGTAAATTAAAATGGTGTTTAATGCAGTAATTTTTTTATAATTAAGCTTATAATAATTTTTTTAGATTAAAACTTTTTTGTAACTAATTTAGAATTAATGTGTATTTCTTTGCATAAAGTGCAGTAGATAATCAAAAAAAAATTTTTAATTTATACTTTTTTATTGATCTTGATAATATTTGAGAAATTTTCAATGACTTTGTATTCATTATAAATTCACAAATTTCAAATTATATTTTTTCTTCAAAAATCAACACTTGTAGTTAATTTTCTCAAGAAGGAAAAAAGCATTATGATCATGAAAGATGTCAAAATGTAGCCCTGATATTCAAGTTTATTTTGCATTTTAAAATGATGGACTTATTTTGAGAGAACTACACGCATTTTTGTAATTTGAATAATTTTTTAGCTTTTTTACTATATACCGAAATTGAGGAATTTTGAAGAGTAAATTCCTCATAATTCTACCATAAATGTTTTCTTATACTGCTGATTTTTGGTATCAACTTTTTTACATTATTCTTAACAATATTTGAATGTTTTAAATTCAATATTCAAATGCTTTGTAATCTTAATTTATTTTTTTATTATATTTTTCTATTCAAAGTAAATATTTACAGCGAAATTTTTCAAAAAAATAATGAAGCAATTATAACTTCATAATATAGGTCTTGGTCATAGGTTTATTATCCAATTTACACAAAAAAAATCAGATTTATTTTGAGCGTATAATACGCATTTTTATTACATGACAGTTTTTTTTGTTACACACTGTATATATAAAAGAATTGGTGTTGTTAAAAAAAATTACCTTTTATTCATAATTAAAGGAGCAGAATAAACCAAAGCGATTGAGAAAAAAGAAAAATAGAGAATGTTACGAATTGATTCATTTTTCAAAGAAAAAAAAATTTTTTCTAGAGTTTCTTTTTGAGTGAATTAATGAATTGAAGTCAAAGCAAAATGCTTTCATTTAAATTTTTCTTTTTTTTCTTTTTAATTCCTTTTCGATGTTTATCTATAAATCATTTTATGCTTATAATGGAATAATTTTTTTGATAAATAATTTATGCATCACTTAATCACGCAATCATAAACATACATAAATTTTTGGAATAGCTTGATTACTCTATAAAATCTAATAAGAATGCATTTAATGATGAGGTTAGAATATGTTCAAATATTTCTGTAATGATGAATGTAAAAACTAAAAATAAGACAGTAAGTTCCTAATATAACTATTCAAGTGAAATTCTGATGTAATATAATTAATTAGTTGTCGCAACGATTTAAATTACTCTTATCAGTCTTATGATTGACGAGTTCATTTACCTACTGCAGTAAATGTGATCAGTTAGATCATTAGGCTTTTTCTTCAGGTAAAAAAATTAATACAAGGAACTCGGGGGTAAAATATTTTAACGAAAAAATCACCCAGAAATCTTGACAGTAGGAGGCATAGGTTATCTACAACCTATCTGTTAGTTAAAATATGAGATTATGACAATAGCGAAATTGTGACCGGAGTTTTTATATATTTAAAGTTCTTACATAATAAAATTGTGTTTAAGATACATTGATTTCAGTCAAACTTTAATGCCAGCCAGAGTTAAGTTTTTAACTGCTTAAAGGTTTATTAAATGATTAATTGACCACGTAAAAGTCAATTCAGATCTATCTTCGTAATACTGAGAAGCTATAAATATTTAAATCAGTAAGCCTAATTTTAGAATATGATTTAATTTAATGTTATATCATTAAATTAATTACTTTATTCTTAAATTAATAAAAAAAAAACTATTATGAATATTATTTATTGTAATTATACTAATGTTAAAATTCTTCTAAAATTAATCTGGGAGCAATATTCATACTTTGTAATTCCTGAAAAAGTAATTTGGCAGCATAAGGCATTTGCATAGTAACCATAAATTTACTAGATTTACAATTTTGACACCACCCTTTATAGCCCAGTAATCCACATTGTTCACAAACATGTACATCAAATTGGTCTGATGATATCATCAATCTTTCCATTAATAACATACTTGCTCCATATCCAACTAAACAATCTCTTTCCATCTCACCTAAACGTAATCCACCATCTCTTGAACGTCCTTCTGTTGGTTGTCTTGTCAATACTGCTCTTGGTCCCCTTGCTCTTGCATGCATTTTATCTACTACCATATGTTTTAATTTTTGATAGTATACTGGTCCAAAAAAAATGTACGCGGACAATGGTTCTCCTGTTATACCTGTATTGAATGATAAAATTTAAAAGTTTCTTGCAATGGTATTTAAATCATTTAAACTTGTAAAAATGACTTACCAGATGTCACATAATCCTTTCCGGAATAACTATAACCATGTTTAATCAAAATTTTACTCATGTCTTCAACTTTACTACCACCAAATGCAGTACCATATTGCAATTCGCCCTTTAATACACCAGCTTTACCAGCTAGTAATTCAATCATTTTACCTACAGTCATACGTGAAGGAAATCCATGTGGATTCATGATAATATCAGGACATATACCAGAATCAGCAAATGGCATATCTTCTTGTGGTACAATAATACCGCATACACCTTTTTGTCCATGACGTGAAGAAAATTTATCTCCTAATTCTGGTATTCTTGTTTGTCTTATTAATATTTTAATAAGTGTTTGTTCCTGTTCTGTTGTAGTTACACATACTTTATCAATATATCCAGGTTCTGGAGCTTTATATGTTAATGGTGAATGTTTCCAAGTAAATTGAATAACTGGCGCATTTACTATTGGCATATTAACTGGTATATTTGCTGATAAATTCGTTGGTGTATGTCTATTCACAATAACTTGTCCTGGCATAACTCTTTCCCCAACTCCTGCTATACCATCAGAATCTAATATATTAAATCTATCAGCTGAAGGTCCTGTAGGACAATCAACTTGTGCAGGAGGATCTCCAATACGATCATAAGTTCCATTTGCATATCTCTTCATTAGTGCAACATGTTTTCTCATTACTTGACAACGTCCAAATCCACGATCAACCGATGCTTTATTTAACACAAGAGCATCTTCAATATCATAACCTGAATAACTCATAACTGCAACTATAGCATTTTGTCCTGCTGGTAACTTATCATATCCCACTAATTCTATAGTTTTTGTTTTAACCATAGGTTGCTGTGGATAAACCATAAGGTACAATAATGTATCAATTCTTCTTAATTGATTATATGCTATAGCACCAATAGCTTGTTTACCCATGGCACATTGATATGTATTTCTAGGACTTTGGTTATGATGTGGATAAGGAATCAATCCTGCTACAGCACCTAAAATTGTAAAGGGTTCAATTTCTAGATGTGTAGTTTCATTAACTATTTCACGCTCATAAATAGCAATATTTGAATCATTTTCTTCATTTACATCTAAGTATTCGACAAGTCCTTGTGCTAAGAAATCTGCAAATGTCATTTCATCTTTTTTTAATTTCTTAAAGTGTTTAAATAAAAATTTTAATTTGTATTTTAAAAGTTTAAAAAATAAATAATATAAAAAAAAAATAATAATTTACCTGAATGTGCTTTGTAGTGACTTTAGGTATTCTATTTTCTACAATGATTAAAGGACGACATACACGTCCACCATCTGAAGCAATATGAACAGCATTATGATGATGATTAACATATATGCTAACAAATTCTGAAATTCTACCGCATCGGCGCAATCGTCTAAAATCATGAACAAAATTATTTGGTTGACATGTAATTCCAAGCATAAGACCATTTAAAAAGACCATATATGCATTTTTACGATACAGCTCTGCACCAGTCAAACTATTAACATCTTTTTTTCATTATTATTATAATAATAATTAGCCTATGTAAATTTTAAAGTTTAGGTAGAATATGAAATTTATCCCATTAAGATTTATCAAAATATACCTTCTATACCAAGATTGAAAGCTAGTCGTCTTAATGGTTGTTCCTCATCATCAGTTGTAATGTGTGTCATCAAAGCTAGGTTCTTAACTAAACCACAAGCTTCACCTTCAGGTGTGTCTGCAGGACATAACATCCCCCATTGTGATGGCTAAAACCCAAATATAATTTGATCAAGTTATTTTTGATCTAAAAGGAAATTTAGAAGACTGACTTTCAACAATTTTCATTTGTTATTTCATTAACAAATTAGAAAGAAAACTCACCTGAAGTGCTCTAGGTCCACTAACTTTTCTTGTTTTTTCATATTGTGATGTTATTCTTGTCATTGTTCCCAATGCTGCAATATAACTTAATCTGCTAAGAACATGTGTTATTCCAGCCCTTTCCATTTTAAACCGTTTTAATGTCCAATTTCCTGTAGCTATAGCTCTAACAAATCCATTAGTAATACTATCACCATGTTGCATTAATTGTTTATGAGCATCAAATTCTGTAGCTCTATTGGGTTTTTTCAACAGTTTATCAATGTTCATCTTTAAATCAAAGTTAAACTTTTTAAATAAATCCTCAAATAACAAAGATAATAAAGATCCAGCTCTAAATTAAAGATTAAAACAAATTAAAAACTTGCATAATTCAAAAACTTACTAATTTAACAAATTAACTCACAATTCCAGTCTTTTATTTCCAACATAATCTCGATCATCAACCAAATTTTCATTAGCTAAGGCCATTAAAACTCTTCGAATCATAATAGCTATATAAATACATTTTGGTTGAAAGTTTAGATCTTTTACTGGTACATGAGCAAGTACTACAGTTGATAATACTTCTAGTGCTTCTTCTGCCATAGGTCTCCTAACATTTGCAATTTTTCTTGTTACTTTAACTTTACTTCCAATATAATCTAATGCTTGTTTTTGTGTAAATATTTTCATTTTTGCACATTGTTCTATATTTGGTGAAAACATGTTTAAAAAGATTTGATTTCCTCCTGAAATAAGTTGCGATATTTCTTTATCTGATTGAATTCCCATTGCCTGTAACAATAAAATAAAATATAAAAATCAAGAGATTCTAGGTAATATTAAAGTGAACATCCTTTACCTTCATTACTATTACAATAGGTATTTCTTCTGATATAGAATTATGTTTCAAAGTTATTTTATCATTTTTTGCATCATTCTTTGCTACTATATATGTCTTACTTTTTCTCTCATGGGTTGAACTATAGAATAATAAATTAAAGCTATTAACAACTTGAATTTACTTAAGGAATAGAAAAAATAATATCAAAAAGCAATAATAACCTTGTAACATAAGCCTGTACAAGACCTTTTTTGTCACCTTCAACGATTATACGATTTTTTGAAAGTTGTTCTTGTATGAGAATAACTTTCTCTGTACCTTTTATGATAAAATAACCACCTATAAAATAATTCATAAATTAATTGTAACATTTACATCAAACAAAACTTAGAAACACTAACAAACCTGGATCTAATGGACATTCAAACATCTTTGCCAGTTCAGCTTCAGACTTATCAGTTAATACACATTTGGAACTCCTAAGCATAATTGGCATTTTACCAATAATAGTATTTTTACGTACAACCCTTTTCTTTCCACGAACATATTCTATATCAACACAAATATTACCAGAATATGTTAGATCTCTTAATCTGCATTCATGTGGTGTAAATACGTTTACATGTGCTTCATGGTCCGTATCAGGTCTATCAGGTGGTCCAACTCTTATATCAAGATATCTGTATATAAATAGTCCAAGATGTTAATTCAGATTGGAAGAAATATTTGATTAAAAATTATTTACTTTAACCAGAATGATGGATCCACATCTGAAGTAATCATTTCATTTGTTCGAACTATCTTTTTTAATTCAGTTTCAACAAAATAATTGTAAGAATCAATATGCTGTTTAACTAATCCTTTAACTTTAAGAAAGGCAGGTAAAAGTTGCCATTTATCCTAATAAATAAATATTTTACAATTTAATTATTATGCAATATGAATGAAAGTATTCAGATTAAATACTTGCTTCAACTTCTTTGACAGGATCAGTTAACTTCTTGCCAGCATAATTAGTTTTCTTTAAGTTCTCAAAAGCTTCTTCGGAAGTATCAGACCTAACATCATCAGCAAAAGTAACAGTTTTTTTGCCCAACATAACTCTTTAAATTTTGCAGATTATCAAATCAAGACGGAAATCTTTATATATATATTAAAAAATCATTGACGGTGTCACGTGGATGTATAAAATTTTGATTGGTTGATATCTTTGTTATGACTGATGACCAACATTGACTCGGGCCAAATCCCGGCAAACATTGAAGCGGCAAATCACGTGACTTCGAAAAAATTGTTTTCCATAAATAAATCTTTTTACCGTATATACAACCATTCTAAACAAACATGCTAAATGCATTTTTGCCTGCTCTGCAAGTTTACTTAGAGTATAGAGTAGGGTTTTAGATCCTGTTTTTGATTTATTTGACTTTTTTCATTTTCGTTATTAAAGATGCTGCTGAAACTTAGTATTTTCCAAAACTGTCAAAACCGAAACTTGGTAAAACTATTTCTGAAATTTTTTTATTTTCCAAAACTGGTAAAACTTGTAAAACTATCTGAAACTGGTAAAACTAATCTGAAACTAGTAAAACTTAGAGGTTTGATCAGTTTCAATAATTACCATTTACCAAATTGTTTTAGTATAAGAATGTTTGCAAAAAATATTTTTTTATATAAAATCACTTAATAAAAATGTTTTTCCAATATTTCTATTAAAAGTTTAAAAAATGTTTCAAAACTAGAGATGGGCATATAACAGTTATACATATCGGCTGATTGGAAAAATCAAGCCAATTAATATTTAAGCTCAGTTGATGGGTTCATTATATAACTGATGGGTTACTTATTGTCATTTAGCATATAAAATTATGGGAGGCTTTTCTGATCAGCCGATATGATATGTTATATAACATTATATAACGATTATATAACATATATAACATTATATAACGGTTATATAACATATACAGTCAGCCCTTAATATAACGAAGTAGACATCCGGGCTGATCAGCCCTTCATTATGAGAAAATTCGCTAATGCTATAACAAATTATCTGGTATAGCAGAAAAATTTGGTATAATGTGATAAAATATAGAAAAATCAAATACATTTGTAAAATGTCAGATCACAGAGGCAAAGAAATTTCAAAGCATAAATCATTCATCTTTTGATAAATGAATTAAAATGGTAAAATTGCTTATTTGGGAAAAATTTTATGAAAGCAACATCAAATTATCTTTTATATTAAAATTTATCTTGCAAAAATCTTTGTTATACTAAAAAACAAATTCGTTTTAAAAGAAGTTCGTTATAAAAAGGGTCATTTACATATGTGAAATTATAAAATTTTCTTTGTTCAACATTATAATACATTTTATTAGTAAAATTCGGTGTAATGAATTTTTTTCATATGACTAAATGCGTACCACACTAAAGATTTGTTATATCGTGAAATTCGTTATATCAAAATTCACTATAGAGGGCTGACTGTATAACATTATATATAAACAGTTATATAACATATATAACATAAATTTATTAACTTGACTATTTTAATCAGTAAATAAAAAAGATAAAGTAAAGATTAAACAATTACAATTAAAATTAACATTGTTAACTATACATTTAAATGACTTTATAATTAAAATTATTTAAAAGGAAATAAAATTTATACACACTCGCACATATGCACACCCTCCATTTTTGGTAATTTTTATATAGTAAATTTGTCGATCATTAATTATCACGTGACTTTAGTAAAATACTGATTTTTTTAAATATTCATGCCGCAATTCTTACGTACATATTATAAAGCCTTAAAATTTTATTTACTATGCGTATTTTTGCCTATACTACAACTTTACTTAATGAGCCATGAAGAGTTTATATATAATATATCCATAGGGATGCGTACATGCGCAGGTGTGTACAAATTTTAAACCCTACTTAAAATTACAAATTAAAAAATTAAAAATTTATTATACTTTTTAAAATTAAATAAACTCTATTCCAAAACACCTAGAAAATAAAACTTTTAATTAAAAAGATTTAAATAAATCAAATTTTATAAAAATTAAGCCAGTAGTTAATTAGAAATTAACTGGAAATAATTGTTTTTATATATAAATAATATTTTTTAAATATAAATATATGATTATTATCATATTTTTTATATATTTTCACTTTTTTTCATATTATTTATATATATTTTTATATGCTCTACAAGTTTATTTAAGGCATCAAAAAAGGTTATAAATCCAAAATTTGATTTTATCTATATAAAATAAGAAAAAAAATCAAAAAGTTAATTTTTCTTAAAATTTACTTTTAAAACTTATTTTAATATTTTAAGTAAACTTGTACATAAAATATATAAAAATACATACAATTTTTGATTTTAAAAGTTATATTATTGGTAAAATTTCAATAATTAAAATTTATTATCAATCACCAGACAAATCCACATTAGGACCCTGAACAATATATATATAGCAATATAGGTCAGATAAAAAATTCAAAATTTACTAAGGTCAATAAGCAAATATTTTTCATGTCTGCTAAGCAAACTTTTATCTAACCCATAAATTTTTTACACTGCTAAGCAATTTATTTTATGACATATATATATTTATATATAATTTTTTTTATAAAATATGTATATAAAAAAAACTAAAAAAACAAAAATTTTTGAAATAATGTATGGATAAAGCTATTATTATTTTTTTGTAATATTACGGTTTGAGACACAACAATTCATCAAATAAAATTGTCCAAATTAGAAATTTAATAAAAATATTTTGGATGCATATATTTAAAATAACTCAACATAATTTAATTGTTACTAACTTAAACTATAAAATGACGTTGAGATTATCCTGATTGGTGATCTAGATCAAAAGTTATTAGCCTGCAAAGTTTGGTATTTTCTTAATAGATGGTAGGATTTGAAACATCTAATTCTGGCCAGAATTTGACAAAATTCTATAATTTAGACCAGAACTATGACTGGCTGAGAGGTAATGCAGATCATAGCATTTTTTCCCATGGCACGACTAAAAAGACAAGCACAACACTGTCAAAAAATAGCTAAAAAAAGAAAAAAAGCTGTGAAAGATTTGTTCCAGATTTTATTTTTGAAAATATTGATGATTAATAAAGTAAAACATTTCCCGATATAGTTTGATTTTTAACCAATCGCAAATTAGTGTTATATATATCACGTGATTTTTTTAAAATCTCAATTTGAAACAACTTGATGATTTGCCAACTATACAACTTATAAATGTTTCTTATTAATATTTTCGTATATCTGTTCTGTGACTTCAGAGCGTAATTTAGGCACTTTAGTCAAAGGAAACATCCAAAACCTTCTTAAGTAAAGTTGTTCAGCAGGTTCGAATCTACTTACATATAAATTTTTATCATGATTGAATAGATATTTATGGATTTATTCATGTTTTTTGTAACGTCACCAATATGCAGAATTTTTATTTTTAAAATTTACTGTAAAATTTGTCAAAAAAAATATTTTTAAAAAATTTTCTAAGTAAAAATGAAATAACTTTTATTGATTATTACAAAAATTATAGTGTAAAATTATAAAAAAACAGAAAACCACTTATTTTTCTTGCTCTCATTTTCAATATATATTTTTTAACTGTTACACAGACGCGTATATGATTTATAATTTTAATGTTACGCGGACGCGTATTTGTTTTATCAAAAACACGTTACACAATCACGTCTAAAAATGTTTCCTGTATTACGTATACAATTAACTTATTCTTTGTATTAAAAATAGTAAATTTTTTTTACACAAACATGTTTATAACTTTGTTTACATATTTTATTAATTTTTTTTAATGTGAAAAATGTAAATATATATTATATTATATATATATATTAAAAAAATCTATCCTGCTACGCAAATATATATCTGACTATTAATAATTTAGTACTCTGCTACGCATAATTATATCTGACTATTTAAAAATTATGTTATCAAATAAGCAATAATAAATCTCACATAGGAAAAATTTTTATATGTTGGTTAAGCAAACTCAAAACCTACCTTTATATATATTGTTCAGGGTCCTTCCACATTACACAATTTTATTAGTAAAAAAATCTTGTATGACATTAAATAAAAAATCTTCAATCATATTAAAGTCCTTAGTTATATATTTTAGTATGACTATTCAACAAATTATTTCGATTTATCTAGTTGCACAATATTTTATGTAACCTTTTTTTTAAAAAAATTTTGTTAAAAAAAACATACAAAGTATAAAGTTTATGAAATTTTTGGTGCATTTGTTCAAGTCCTCGCGAGTCTGAAAATTTATGAGTTTATTATTTATGTTTTGAATAAATGGGAGTGCTTCTTTTCGATAAACTTTTGTTACAGAAATAAGTTTATTTGATAGTTTTTATATGAAGTCAAAATTTCAATTTTATTATACTTCAAAACTTTTGTTTTTTTGTTATTATTATTATAATAACGTTTAACCCTTTAAATATTCCATGTAGACGGCAGATTTTCTAGGATATCATTAATTTCTTTTTCTGTCAGTAGAGCTTGGACTCGCACTCATGTAACTCGAGTTGACTCGAGTTGAACTCGCACTCGAGTCAGAAATTTCTTGACTCGAGTCAACCGGGATCACGTGGTTGATAGTGCCGGCTGAACCCTATTTGTAATTCCTGCCGGCACTATGACTATAACGGTCTGGGTAAAATTATGGATAATTTTTTTGGCCTGCACTTTAACTTTTGACTCAAATTAACTTGAGTTAACTTGAGTCCTGACTCGAGTCCTGGACTCGAGTACTCTTCGAGTCAAAAAATTCTTGACTCGTTTTACTCGAGTTGACTCATTCTGATTCGAGTCCAAGCTCTATCTGTCAGTACTGTACTTTTAAGTAACAAAGGATTTAATATTTCTTTTTCTTCTTCTGGTATATTTGATTGTCTATTTGAATTTTTAGAAGATAATTGTTGTTGTGAAATTTCATGTGATATAGAATGAGGGGTATTTTCGAGAGCTTTTTTTTTTTGTGAGGATTTTGTTAATCTTATGTCTGTTTTAACTAGTATTTCTAAATAGTGT